TCTTCGTGGGGTCTAGAGCGAGGAAGTGGTCGCGTACAGCACGAAGGGAGTCAGAAGGGCGGGTCGTGTAAAAGTAAAGGGTGAGATAAATGGGTGGCTTGTTCTCAGCCCTAAAGGCGGGCTCGAGGGCGGCAGCGTAGCCGGTCTCAAGGGAGCGCAGGTGAGTCAGGAGGTCGGCTACAGTGGTGAAGTCCGACAAGTTGGGAAAGAGGAACGGCAGCGCCAGGCGGCCTACAGTGGCAGACGACGGGGACGAGTAGCGCTTGACCACAGCGTCGTAAAGCACCTTGGCCGTCTTAAGCTGGCAAAAGTGAGAGCGCCGGTCTAGCGGAAGGTGGCTACGGACAGCAAGGGCGGCAGTAGCGTCACGAGAAGTCCACTTGGACCGGTCTACACGAGTAGCTGAGTCAAGAGGGGCATCGAGGGACCCCGAGGTATGCTCAAAGAGAGAGACATCCTCCCTAGTCTGGCTCTGCAGGTACCAGTGGAGATCCTCTAGCTAGGACCCAAAGTCTACCGGGTGCCCCTCGCCATCAAAGGTGAGCACAGTAGGGGTTGCCATAGCAGGGGGGACGGTAGTGGCAGCAGCAGCAACAGTAAATGCAGTAGCAGCAGGAAGGGGGGCTCAGTAGGGCGGCTTGGTTGGGCTGCTCGAACGGGCGGCTCGACTGGGCGGCTCGGTTTGGCGGCTCGGCTGGGCGGCTCGGTTTGGCGGCTCGGCTGGGCGGCTCGCAGGCAGCAGCAGCAAGCGCGTTAGCCGGCGGTGCAAGCAGCAGCAGCAGGCGCGCAAGCAGGGCAGGGCAGGGCGCGAGCTGACAGTGCAGCAGTGCAGTAGGGGCAGGGCAGGGGCGTGAGCGGGCGGCGCAGGGCAATGCGCGGGCGGCTCAGGCAGGGCGCACGCAGGCAGCGCGGGCAATGCAGCGCGCAGGGCAGCGGGCGGCGGGCCAGCAGCGTGCAGGCAGCGCGGGCGGCACAAGGCAGCGCGGGCAACGCGCGGGCAGCGTGTGGGCCGCGCGAGCAGCGTGCGAGCGGCGTGCGGGCAGAGCGGGCAGCGCGCGGGCAGCGTGCGGGCAGCGCACGGTCAGCGCGAGCAGCAGGCGGGCGGGCGCACTAGGCAGCGCGACAGCGCGCGGTTTTGGGCAGGCAGCACGGTAGCGCGCTGGGCAGGGCAGGGCAGCAGCGCAATGGCGTGCTGGTCAGGGCAGAAATGACGGGCCGGGCAGGGAAAAAAACTACTGCCGGGCAGAGCGGAACGAATACGGTGGGCCCTAAAAAAAATCGGTCCTAACCGGGACCTACTCTGAAACCATGTTAAGATTAGGAATGATTGACAAAGCATGAAGTGTGATACAAGTACTAACCCTAACAAGTGTTGTACCCAATAGGGAGTGACCCACTACAGCCTAACAGAACTAACATGATAAAAACATGTTTTGACACGTACGCGACGTTTCGCAAAGCTCTGACCCTTCGCATCGTACTCGATTTTGCACTCTTCACTTGCAATTGATATCGGTGTTTCTCATTCTGGGGGGTTACGGGCGCACTGATCGACTATTTAATACGCCCTTTTATCCCAGTGGTCTCGTGGCTGGGATTCTGACATGGTATCGGAGCGAAGTTCTCGGGTTCGAATCCCCATGTGCACACATACTGGCGCTGCCGCTATGCCGTGTCCTAGGGCATTCTTGTGAGAGAGGGGTGTTAGAAAACCTGCACTGTAGATGTCCGATTGATCATAGGAAAGTGTTACAGGCTCTAGCCTGGGGGGTTATGGGCGCACTAACCCATTATTTAACGAGCCATTTTATCCCAGTGGTTTAGTGGTTGAGATTCTGACACCCTTAGTTGTATCACTTACTTGTTGGTTCTTGTTGACTAACCTTGTGGCCTTTTACCTTAGTGGTTGGACTAGTTGAGCCACCCTGAGTTTGTTTGTTGTTGTCTAGGGACTACCGTTTACCTAGCCTAGGGAATGTGTCAATTTATATATACGCATATATTATAGTGGAGGTGGGGTTACTCTTTTAGAGGGTACAATTTTGGTGCTTATGAACCCTGTATGCCCTCACATTACTCATTCTTTTTTTTTTGGGTTGCGGAGCAACCTATTGTAATCGATCTGAATTGCTTTTTTTTTCTGAATATATTTTTCAATTAATTTCGAGAATAAAAATAAAAAAACTTTAAAAGGGTATGGAATACACCTACCAGTCTTTTAAATTGTGTCTTGCTGCTAGTATAATGTTTTGTTTGTTTTCGCTGTATAATGTACTTCTCTCTAACTTATGCAATTTTGGAGAGAAAATTGTAAAATAATTTTTGAAGAAATGAAATGACCGAGCAAACGATCATTGCATTTCCATCTCGTTAGAATATTCGAAAAAAACATATTCATTGAGCGGATCAATGAATATATCGTACCCTTTGGTAAAAAAAAAATGCGTCACGACTTACAAAATTTAAAATGTATACTACCGCTTCCCCAGCCTAGCATGGGGGGGAAGTCAATAGTATACACGTTGAATTAGCAAGCTATGACATGAAGCAATACAATCTGCAAATTTCAAAGAAAGCTCTACACCAATCAAGTCCAGCTCAAAATGGCTTCACTTTGATAGTGATACACCACTGAACCTTTTGTGACAATGATCAGCGAGAACCCTCTTTGAAACAAGCAGACTGATTACTAATGCAATGAAAAGCAGCATGTGACAAACATTAATAACGCAAATTATGCAAACAATTACACAAACACTACGTATGCATGTTAATAAAATCCCAATGCACTGAGTTGTACGAGACGCTCCCACCTATGGATTACGATCTGTTATCAGAAAACATGACAAAACACAGAACCCACACAAAGAGAAAGGACAAGAAAATCCTCTATTGAGAAACGAAAAGAAATGTAAAAATGTTAAACATTTCCAATTAACGAATTGCATAGTTGCAATTGAGAAATGCACAAATAAACGTAGGGGAAAGAGGAAGGTAAGTAGGAAGAAAGGATAGGAAAGATGAGAGCAAGCAAGGAGAGTAAAGAAAATGTAAGCAGAAACTTAAAGAGGCACAAACAACTAATACAATCAACTGAAGGAGGGGTGAAGCAAGGGGGAAAGGACGGAGGGAAGGAAGAAGGTAAAGACTTAAAGTGCACCGGAGAGAGAAGATATCATGATCAGAATGAAGAAAGGAAGAAAGGAGGAAGGAGACAAGAAGGAATGGATAAGGCAAAATGGAAATAGGGAGCATAAGGGAACGAAAGGAAATACTTATGCATTAATTTGAAAATGCACTCACAAAATGACACCACTTAATACGGTTTTGCATTAGGGTAGAATAAAACGACATTAGATGAAAGGAAAGTATATGGAAGAGAGGAAGAGGAAGAGAAGGGTTGTTTTGGAGATTCGGTAAAAGACACTTCTAACTGGAGATAGTAGTTTATTGCATGAAAGAGCAAAGAAAGGATACAGGAAGGAAGAGAACCAACTGATATACAACAGACAACAGGAAGGCTCAGAACAAAACGGGCGGACTAAAAATGATAAACAGAACAAGGGATTAAGACAAAAGCGTACGTAGTTCAGGAGCTGAATATTCACAGTGTAACATAATGAACTAGATGTAGTTTTGAGAACTGTGAGACGTTTCACATCTCTTACCACGGAAAAGGGTGAGCAAAATACCTAATAGAGCTTCGAAAAGAAGAGAAGCGGCAGGATGAGAACGAGAGAAGAGAGGTAAGACAACCAGCAAAGAGGAACTTCAAGCATCTATCCGACGGGTGTTTAGATCTAGAGAAACCTATCAATCGATCTAGTTAAGAAAGCATAAATATGCTTGACGGCTCACCTTAAAGAGGTGGAGTAGATATACTAATCGTGGTAGTAGCTGGAGTAGTCAAGTCGAAAGGGAGCTTGGCAGCAGAGGCGAGTGGTTGGGAGAAACAGGAAGAAACGAGAGCCAAAAAAGAGATGACGAAACCCTAACCAAGATTGGCATTCCTCTACTTTACATCGGTCGTATAATAAAAATAAAATAACAACAACAGGTGCTTTAGCGTAATGGTTTACGATTCGCGATTTGGTCAGAAGGATCGAAGATCGATTCCTGAAAAATGTAGGATACAATTCCGGCGATGCGTTCCTAATTTTTAGAACACAAAATTGTCACGACTGTTACATACATAAGGGTTAGATGTATAACAACATGAATAATGCGTCAATCTAATACGCTCCGCAACCCTTAGACGATTTCGTCGACTCTTGTTTTTTTTTCCTTGCCTGGCAATTATTCGAACGTACCTACTTCATAAGATTACTCATTCTTCATTGTTGACACTATGATGCACTAACACGCAGTGTCCACTCCCATCTTTATCTATCTATTGGAATAGTAGTATGGATCTTAGTGAAATCCTAGATTTTCATTCCACTCATAAGATTAGTGGAACATTTGTTTACTCATATCGCAGAGCTCGATAATGCACCAACACGCACGGAATCCACTCCCATCTCTATCTATCTCTGCCTCCTGCTGCCTGTGTTGCTTGCAACTCATGGAAGGGTCACGGCCAGGCCAGTCCTTGGGAGTCGCTGGTTCTTCAAGCGACTATGCTTCCGCCCGACTCGACCTACATCACTCTCTTTAGATGTTTAGCGTATCGCACCCGATCGGACGGCCCAAGGCGTTGCGCGCTTGTCCTGCCAGTCCGTCACGTTGTAGTTAACGGGCGCTCCTGATCTGGCCAGATTCGGGCCTTCATGCGTGCCTGTTACAAATCGATCTCGACAATGTTTTCGCTCGAGTAGCTTGTCGCTGCGTTCGTATGCTATCGCGCAGTTTCGATCTCCGCTTCCGCGTCAGGCCGTCGATTTCCCGCAGGATCCCCCGTTTTCTCACCTCCGCCCTCTGCCGATCACCCTTCACACCCTCCCGCCTCTATCCCCCACCCTTCACCCTTATCTGCCCCCGCTTGAAGCCATTGAGCGAACATGGCTATCCCTGTTGACTCTAAGAACGTCCGGGCAGTTGAACTTTACTGCTGGCTGCCCGTAGCCCGCCGATTGGACGTCTGGCCGTTCGCCGTCGTGTACGCCGTGTGGCTGGCGCTGCTGGTAACCCGACTTCGCCTGGATTTCGTGGAGATGGCGATCGTCACGGGCGCGCTGGTTTCGCTGAACATCCTGACGGCGCTCTTCACGGTGTGGTCCGTGGACTTTCGGTGCTTCGCGCACGCGCGACAGGTGGGCATGTTGGGTGTGACTTGTGGCACGTGGGCATGTGGGGTGTGGTAATATTTGAGGCGCCTCATGATTTGACGGCGCTGTTAAGTGCGTCGTCAGGGGCTTCCGTTGCTGCGCGCACGCACGACAGGTGGGCATGCGGGGTGTGCCTTGTGGCGTGTGGCATGTTGCATGTGGGATGTGGGATATGGGATATGTCCGTGTTCGGTGGTTTTCCGGTGCTGCGGATTTGGGATTTGGAGTCGAATTTGATTCCGATTCAAGTGTGGGCTCGCCTCAAAGCTGACTGAACCACGAAGTGGTTGAGTCGGGAAGGGGGGCTGATTTGAGAGCAGCGCGGCAAGCGGGGTTTTATGAAACTCTTATTAACGCAGGGACTAGAGGCGCAGCGCACTTTTGACGCTTCAAAGATAATAATAATTGTGTTGCTGCAGGGGCTAGAAGTGCAGTATACGGTACGGGAATGGGGCCAAGGGTGCAGCATACGGCAGGGGAAGGAGCCATGAGCAGGATAAGGGGAACGGGGCCAAGGGAGTAGTATTTTGAGTGATGGGGGGAATGGGGTGATTAGAGGCTGAGTGTGTGCTTCATTTCTGTTTCGTTGCTTCTCTGTTTGCCTGCCTCTGGGGTTTGCGTGTTTGCGTTTCTCTGTGCTTCACTGTCTATGTTGTTTGTGTGGGTGTCTCTGTGCATGTGTGTGCGCGCGCGCACACACGTGTGTCCATGTGTGTCTATGTGTGTGTGTGTGCATGTGTGTCCGTGCGTGCTTCCATGCATGTGGAGCAGGTAGCATCAGTGCACGAGGCAGAGGTCTGCAAGGTCATTCCGTCCAAGTTCGGAGGCTCCAAGGAAGTCGTACCCCTCACCAAGCGCAAGCATGTGAGTGTCATTTTGACATTTCTATACAGTATACTTTGACTTTATTAATAGGTTAATAGCTGGAGGCTCCAAGGAGGTCGTGCCTCTCACCAAGCGCAAGCATATGAGCGTCCTTTTGAGATTTATAAACATTCCAATCTGGCTTGCTGAAATGTTCAATTTTGGAGGCTCCACTCACCAAGCGCAAGCATGTGAGTGCCTTTCTGAGTGTACTCAACCTACTAGAGAGTCTAAGGAGGTTGAGAGTGCAAGCATGTGAGTGCCTTTCTGAGTGTACTCAACCTACTAGAGAGTCTAAGGAGGTTGAGAGTGCAAGCATGTGAGTGCACACTCCACACTGCACAATGCGCACTGGATTTGTGAAAATTCCTTCCGTCGTCTCACCATCTATGCTTGGTAGCACAGGTGTATTTTGAGTTGGATCAAAATACACTTCGTTCGCAGTACAGTACAGCACATCACCCCACCCACCTGCGATCTGCCACCTGCCTGGGTTGCCTGTCCTTTACCCTTTCTTCTTTTCAGTTGCCAGCCGAAAAGCACCTTCTCGGAGCGGGGGGTGCTGCTGCTGCTGCTGCTGCTGCTGCTGCTGCTGGTGCTGCTTCTTTGAAGAAAGAGGACAAGTACAAGGGAGGAGAGACGGACAAGGGAGAGAAGAGCAAGTCGGATAAGCAAGAGCCGGAGGGAGAGCGGAAAGACGGCGAGAGAAAGGCCGAAAGAGAGAAGGAGAAGAAGGCGAAAAGCAGGGAGGAGCACAAGCAGAGACAGGAGGGGGGAGCGTACGAGGGGGAGGAGGAGGAGGAGGTGCGGATGTGCTACCGGCGGCAGCAGTTTGTGTTTGACGAGGGGGAGAGGGTGTTCAAGAAGCTAAGGTTCCCCTCCAAGGAGACGTTTGGGGCGTACGTGCAGTGGAAGGGGTATGGCACGCCGGCTAAGGTGGATGCTGCTCGCCACCGATGGGGCCGCAACGCGTGAGGCTTTAGGAGGGGTGGAGAAGGGGGTGGTGGGAGGGTGGAGGGGATGGAGGGGGGAGGGGTGGGGGTGGTTAGGTGTTCTGGGTTTATGAAGCGGTTTATGTATGTGGGTGTTATGGGTTTATGAAGCGGTTTATGTATGTGGGTGTTATGGGTTTATGAAGCGGTTTATGTATGTGGGTGTTATGGGTTTATGAAGCGGTTTATGTATGTGGGTGTTATGGGTTTATGAAGCGGTTTATGTATGTGGGTGTTATGGGTTTATGAAGTGGTTTATGTATGTGGGTGTTATGGGTTTATGAAGTGGTTTATGTATGTGGGTGTTATGGGTTTTGTGGGGGCAGGTGGTGGGGGAGGTATGTATGCCAAGCCGTGGGTGGCGAGAGGGCGAGGCAGGTGGTGATGGGGGGTGATGGGGGGTTACGGGGCATGTGGTTTTGTGGGACTGATGGTTGATGGGATGTAGGAGGATTGGCCAGGGAAGGAAGGGGTGCTGGGGGAGCAAGGGGTGTTGGATTGGAGGGTGAAGGGATGCAGCACTTCTGTTGGAGGAGGAGGGGTTGGCACCTCTGTCTTCTGCAGGACGTCTCCTGTCCCACTCTATCCCGCTCTATCCCGCTCTATCCCGCTCTATCCCACTCTATCCCGCTCTATCCCACTCTGTCCCGCTCTATCCCACTCTATCCCACTCTATCCCACTCTGTCCCGCTCTATCCCACTCTGTCCCACTCTGTCCCGCTCTATCCCACTCTATCCCACTCTGTCCCACTCTGTCCCACTCTGTCCCACTCTGTCCCACTCGGTCCCACTCTGTCCCACTCTGTCCCACTCTGTCCCACTCTGTCCCACTCGGTCCCACTCGGTCCCACTTTGTCCCACTCTGTCCCACTCTGTCCCTCGCCCACCGGTTTTGCATGCCTTGCTCTACACCTTAAGCCGTACCACCCCAAGCCATAATTTCTCAACCTGCATTCGTTGTATCGCTTTCCCCGTCCCAAATCGTCCCCTCTTCTCCTTCCCTCTCTCCCCCCCCCCCCCCCCCCCCTCCTCCCTCACAACTCTTCCATGGCTCAACCCGATTGGATGCAGGTTTGAGTTCCCAGCTCCCACCTTCCTCGCCCTCTTCCAAGAGCAGTGCTCTGAGCCCTTCTTTGTCTTCCAGGTAATCATGAGACGAGACAGTTGGGTGGGGTCACCTGTGAGATGAGCCGTTCTAGTCTCCCTTTCTGGTTCCCTCTTGTTCTGTGTGGCTCTGTGCTGTGGCACTGTGATGTGGTGCTGTGCGGTGGTGGCGCATGGTCGAGCACTGACTGACTCGCTCAACTCCATACCCATCTTCGCGCTCTTCCATTGCTTCTTCTGACAAGCAACAGTGAAAAAACATACTTCTCTTCGGCGCCTCACCCAGTCCCCTAGTTTTGAGACGTCTAAAAAACAACTTCTTCTTCTTGGGCGCCTCACCCAGTCCCCCCCAACCCCTCCCGGTCCCTCTCCCCACCTGCTCCATCCACCCCTCCTCCATCCCCCCCCCCTATTTTTGTCCCCATCCTTTCCCCCTCCCAGGTGTTCTGTGTGGCGCTGTGGTGCATGGACGAGTACTGGTACTACTCCATCTTCACGCTCTTCACAACGTGCAAGGTGCATGCTCCTAGAGTCACCTCAAACTCCCCACCCTCCTCTTTCCCTTGCTTTTCCTTCCCCCTCCCCCCTCCTCCCAGGTGTTCTGTGTGGCGCTGTGGTGCATGGATGAGTACTGGTACTACTCCATCTTCACGCTCTTCATGCTGCTCGTCTTCGAGTCCACCGTCGTTGCCAGTCGCCTGCGCACGCTCAGTGAGCTGCGCCGCGTGCGCGTGGACACACAGGGCATCCTGGTTCACCGCGAGGGCAAGTGAGTGTCAGGGGAGAGGAGGGGCAGTGGTTGGCTGGCGATAGGGGAGTTGGGGGTGGTTTTGACTCTTGAGCCGCCTGCGCACGCTCAATGAGTTGCGCCGCGTGCGCGTGGACACACAGGGCATTTTGGTTCACCGCGAGGGCAAGTGAGTGGGGGGACATTGGTTGGTGTGCTGGCAAAAAAGAGGGGTTGAGTGGGGGTACCATTGTTGTTGCCAGCCGCCTGCGCACGCTCAGTGAGCTGCGCCGCGTGCGTGTGGACACACAGGGGATTCTCGTGCACCGCGAGGGCAAGTGAGTCGAGGGAGTGGGGGGAGTGGGGAGAGTTGGTTGGGCAGTTGGGGTTTGGTTGTGACTCTGTGATGGAGCACGCTCAGTGAGCTGCGGCGCGTGCGCGTGGACACACAGGGCATTCTCGTGCACCGCGAGGGCAAGTGAGTGCTGAGGAAAGGGGAGGAGGGGAGGGAGAGATTGTTAGGCTTGCGAAAGGAGGGTTGGAGGTGGTTTTGAGTGGGGTGGGGAGAGTGGGCGGCGAGGAGGGTGAGTGAGGAAGTGTTTTTCTGAGAATTCAAATAAAGCAGCCTGTGCTTGAGATGTTTTTCTGAGGATGTGTTTGAGATGCCTCAAGCGCCTTAGCGCGGCTGAAACCTGTTTCATCCCGTGCTGTGCCGTCCCCCTCTCCCTCTCTCCTTCTCTCCCTCTCGCCCTCTCCCCCTCTCAACCTCCCCCCCATCCCCCCCTCCGCCTCCCTATTCCCCCACTCTCTTGTCTCACCCCTCCCAGGTGGGTCACCCTAACAGGACCTGATCTTGTCCCTGGAGACATTGTCTCTATCGGTCGCTCTGCTGCTGCTCACACTGCAGCGGGGAAGGGAAAAGCAGGGGGAGCGGGAGCAGCAGGGGCGGGAGCGGCGGTGGAGGATCGTACAGTGCCCGCTGATCTGCTGCTGCTGGCGGGGACTGTGATTGCCAATGAGGCGATTCTCACCGGGGAGAGCACACCGCAGTGGAAGGTGGGTGGTGGTGGGTGGGTGTGGAGGGGGGGGAGGGCAATGGGAGTGCCGGAAGATCTGCTGCTGCTGGCGGGGACTGTGATTGCAAATGAGGCGATTCTGACTGGGGAGAGCACACCGCAGTGGAAGGTGGGTGGTGGTGGGTGGAGGGTGAGAAAGGACGATGAGAGTAGGTAAGGGGAGTGTGTGTGGGGAGGGAAGGGAGAGGAGGGAGGGGGGGGGGAGGGTTGGTGGGAAGGGTGGTGGGGGGGAAGGGAACGAGGGAACATTGACAATGCAGTGGGGATGCTTTGCACCTTGCACTCGTTTCCCATGTCTGTATCTGCATTTCTCCTACCTCTTTCGCCGTCTTTTCCCCTTATTCCCTTATCTACTGTCCGTCCAATTCCCCTCCCCTTCTTCCACCGTCCCACCTCCCAGACGCCAGCGTCAACGCGAGAGGGCAGTGCGGGGTGTCAGTGCGACTCCTTCCCCCCTCCTCTCACCTCCCTCCCCCTTCCCCCTTCCCCCTTTCCCAGACGCCAGCGTCAACGCGCGAGGGCAGTGAGCGGGTGTCGGTACGGCGGGACAAGGCACACGTGCTGTTCTCAGGGACCAAGATCCTGCAGCACACACCCGACAAGGTGGGGGGATGGAGGAGGATGTAGGGTGGTCGAGTGCGGTTGGGTGTGGGAAAGCAGAGGGTAGGAGGAGGGAAGGGGCGATGAGCATGTGTGTGCGCTCAGCACAAGCCAGACGTGGACACATAGCGTGCCTTCCACTGCCGTTCTTGCTCACTCCCCTCCCTCCCACCCACCAGACCTCTTGTTCTCTTTCATCTCCCCCCCCCCCCCCCTCCTCCCCCACCACGTCAATCCCTCATCCTGCTTACATTTCCCTCCATCCTTCTTCATCACCTACCCTCCTGCTGCTGCCGACTTCCTACTTTCCCATCCTTGCATGCCTTTCCCCAGCTGCCATTCGAGTCTGCCACGTCATACAATGCCTTTGCTAATGTTTTCTATCCTTGTCATTTCAAGAGTCTTTGTTAGTGCTCCGTCCGGCCTCCACCGTGCCTGTTAGTGCCGTCACATTGTTGCTCACTTGGCATGTTCTTCCTGGTCTCGCTTTCCGGTGTGTGTGTGTGTGTGTGTGTGTGTGTGTGTGTGTGTGTGTGTGTGTGTGTGTGTGTGTGTGTGTGCATGTGTGTGTGTGTATGTGTGTGTGTATGTGTGTGTGTGTGTGTGTGTGTGTGTGTGCATGTTTGGTGCCGCTGCCATGCATGCATGGTGCGGTGCAGGCAGCAGCGATCAGAGCACCGGACGGGGGCTGTGTGGCGGTGGTGCTGCGAACGGGCTTTGACACGAGCCAGGGCAAGCTCATGCGCACCATCCTCTTCTCCACCGACCGGGTACCTCCCTGTTTGCTCTCTTGTTTGCTTGCCTGCCTGCCGCCTGCCTGCCGCCTGCCTGCCGCCTGCCTGCCGCCTGCCTGCCGCCTGCCTGCCGCCTGCCTGCCCCTCCTGGCACCCTTCTCTCCTACTACCCTCCTGCCTGCATGCATCCTCCTCACATTCCTCTGTTCGCCCTTTTCTACACCTCATGCCCTCTCTTTCCTGCTCCATTCCCCTTCCCCCTTCCCTTCCCCCCTCCTTTCCCTTCCCCCTTTCTCATCCCCTCTCTTTCCTCCCACTCGCCTTTTCCCCTCCCTGCCCCACCTCCCTTCCCCTTTTCGCACACACCCACCACACCAACCAACCCCCACCAGATGACGGCCCACAGTGCGAAGACTGGCCTCTTATGGGTTCCCTCACTTTAGGGTTCCCTCGCTTTTGAGTCAAGTCAACTCAACAAACTCCCTCCCCTGCTCAACACACATGCAAACCCACCCGCACCGCACCGCACCCCACCAGGTGACGGCCAACAGTGCAGAGAGTGGCTTCTTCATCCTCTTCCTCGTTGTCTTCGCCATCGTTGCCGCCGGCTATGTTCTCTACAAGGTGACATGCCCTTACCTTCCCTGCACTGCACCACATGATGCCTTTTGAGACGTCTCAAAACTCTTCATCCTCTTCCTCGTTGCCTTCGGTCTTCGCCATCGTTGCTGCCGGCTATGTTCTCTACAAGGTGACATGCCCTTACCTTCCCTGCACTGCACCACATGATGCCTTTTGAGACGTCTCAAAACTCTTCATCCTCTTCCTCGTTGCCTTCGGTCTTCGCCATCGTTGCTGCCGGCTAAGTGCTTACAGACTACAAGGTGACATGCCCTTCTCTTCTCTGTACCGCCTGCACCGCCTCATGCCCTACTTTGCACCGTAAAAAAAATCTCAGGTGGTTCAAACCTTTTCAAACCCTTTCAAGCCCATGCAACCTCTTGCCTGCCATGTGCTCTACAAGGTGATATGCCCTTCTCTGTACAGGTGATGCCTGCGCCAGGTGATGCCTGCCCCTGCAGACCCCTCCCATCCCCCTTCTCCCTGCCTCCCTCCCCCTCTTCGTCCTTCTCCCTCAACCCCCACCCGTGCTCCCCCCTCCCAGGGTCTAGAGGACCCACACCGCAGTCGCTACAAGCTATTCCTTAACTGCTGGCCTTCCTTCCTCTTCCCCCCCACCCTTCGTCGTTCCCGCCGCACCCGCTCGTCCCCCCCACTCCCAGGGTCTAGAGGACCCACACCGCAGTCGCTACAAGCTCTTCCTCAACTGCTCGCTCATCATCACGTCGGTCATCCCACCCGAGCTGCCCATGGAGCTGTCCATCGCCGTCAACACCTCCCTCATCGCCCTCGTCCGCCACGGCATCTACTGCACCGAGCCCTTCAGAATCCCGTTTGCCGGCAAGGTGTGTGCTTGTGCATGCGCTTGTATGTTCTAGAAGTTGTTTGTCAGGTGCGGTTTCCATTCCTGTCGACACCTCCTGCACCGCCCTAGCCCAACAAGGCGTTTACTGCACTGAAGCGTTCCGGATTCCATTTGCTGGGAAGGTGTGTGCAGAGTCAGGTTGACAAAGGTTTCCCAACTGCTGCTTTCTCAGTTGACTTGCTGGAAGGCCGGGCATGCAATGCACTGGTGTGTGCACTGCACAGATATATGGCCGTTAAAGTGCGCATAGGAGAGATATGTTCATTGCATATATGGCTTGTGATGGTTTTTTCTGCATGTCCCGATTGGTGGCAGTCAGGAGTAAAAGACCCATTTAGACGTTCCATGGTGCATCCAGGATTCCAGGCAGTTTCTTGGTTGGTCCCCGTGCAAGTCTCCTCCTATATCAGGCATACAGCCGCAAAATTATGCTATCCATAAGAGCAGTGTTTTTAAGTGTTCAGTGCTGGGTGTTTTTGAGAATTCTCAGAAACACCCTGCTATATTTCCGGTTCATCAGATTCAATCGTGTCCATGTGCATGTGTGTATGGATGGGTCCGTTTGATACCATATTGTATGTGATGCGTGCACATGTGCGCGTGTTGTTATGCATCTGTGCATGTGTATTGTGTTTATATGGTGTGTGTGTGTGTGTGTGTGTGTGTGTGTGTGTGTGTGTGTGTGTGTGTGTGTGCGTGTGCGTGTGCGTGTGCGTGTGCGTGTGTGTGTGTGTGTGGTGCATATGTGGTGTGTGGGCTGTGTGGACCGGGCTGCTCCCCTCATTACAGGTGGACATCTGTTGTTTCGACAAGACCGGCACCCTCACTTCAGATGACATGGTGCGATGCGATGCGATGTCCATTAGGGGCTATACTGGAATCACGTTCAAACATGTCATTTGGGGCCATGCCATGCCATGCCTTGCCATGCCATCCATCACCTCCCACACCATCTACCCATCTTCCATCTTCTTCGTCTTTCCCTCTCCTCCACTCTCCCCACATCTCCCTTCCCCATCCCCCCACGCAACCCCCTCAGGAGTTCCGCGGAGTGGTGGGGGCGGAGGGAGGGGGCTCTTTGGATCTATCAACAGACTGCCATCGCTTCCCCCTGCCCACGCTGCTCACTCTCGCCGCCTGCCACTCACTCGTCTTTGTCGACAATAAGTTGGTCAGTTCTTTGCTCCCACTCCTTCGCTGTCAGCATTTGTCCTTCACATCACATCACCACGCTGCTTGCTTACACTTGCTGCCGCCTGTCAGTCGCTCAGACTTGCCAACACCAAGCCTGTCAGTCGCTCAGACTTGCCAACAACAAGCCTGTCAGTCCTTTGCTGTCGGTCCTTTGTTGTCAGTTCTTTTCTGTCATTCACACAATTCGTCCGCTGCCCGTACCACTCTCACGGCGCCGCCGATGCTACAAGAATCATGCTGCTCGCATGCTCTCCATGCTTTTTGAGGCGCTTCAAGAATCTGTTTTTGAGGCGACTAAATAGCAGACTCATCATTTCACGCTACTCCTCATTGTGCCATCAGGTGGGGGACCCGTTGGAGAAGGCAGCGTTGACTGGCGTTGACTGGGGCTTCTCTGCAGAAGAAAAAGCACACTCTAGAAAGTGAGACATGAGTGCTCTGCATGATTTTTGAGGCGCCTCAATAATCGTTGTGAGGCGCCTCAAAAATATTCTCTGCAGAAGAAAAAGCACACTCTAGAAAGTGAGACTCGAGTGCTCTGCATGACTTCGTGAGTGGTTTGGTTGGTTCAGCCTTCAGGTACCAATCTTGAGTGGTTCTTTGGACATCTGAAATGAAAACGTTCTGGGTGCCCTCGATCACATGCCATTTCCATGCCATGCCATGCAATACCATGCCATGCCATGCCATGCCATGCAATACCATGCCATGCCATGCCATGCAATACCATGCCATGCCATGCCATGCCATGCAATGCCATGCAATACCCTGTGTAAGCCTGTCTATTCTAGCCCCAAGAATAGGGTTGGGTAGGCTAGCATACTCTACTCTACGCTGGATGCGACCTATGGGGTAGGGCGCACACGCGTCAGCGTGCTTTGGTTTAGTTTTGAGGCGCCTGCATGCCGCAAGCGCACGTGAATTCACGCGTGTGCTGCACACTGCACGCACGCACGCACGCACGCACGCACGCACGCACGCACGCACGCACGCACGCACGCACGCACGCATGCATGCATGCATGCACATGTGGATTCACACATGCACACACACAGATGGTGCACGGATTCCGGGTGTATTCTCCTCTCCCCCACCCCCCACCCCCCGCCTCCCCGATGGCCCTCTCCTCTTCCCCCCACTCCCTGTCTATATTTGGCGTCTTTTGCGGCGCCTCGAAAGTAGTTTCCTGATGGCCCTCCGCCTCCCCCCTTTTGTGTCACCCCAGGGGGCAGCACCATGAGGCGAGCATAATATGCCGGCACCACTTTGCATCGCACTTGAAGTTCTGAGACACTCTTAAAACTCCTCTTCCCCGTCCTCCTCCCCCCCCTTATCTCTCCCCTCCCCAGGGGGCAACACCACGAGGCGAGCATAATATGCCGGCACCACTTTGCATCGCACCTCAAGCGCATGGCAGTGATTGCGCGAGTAGACAGCGATCCCGGCTTCATGGTTCTCGTCAAGGTGAGCGCTGCAGGGTAGGCGAGCTTGGAGCTGTGTAAAATGTTTAGCAACGGGATTTGCTGCATCGCACCTGAAGCGCATGGCAGTGATAGCACGCGTGGACAGCGAGCCCGGCTTGGCTCTCGTCAAGGTGAGCGCAGACGGTTTTCTCGTAGAGTTTTGATTGTCGGGTGGTAAAGTTGAAAGGTGGTGGCGCATGGGGATAGCTTCCTGGCATGAGGGCCTTCATGGTTCTTGAGTCTTGAGTCTTGACAAGGTGGGCGGCCCTCCCCCACCTGCAGCAGGTGCTTTCAGATGGGCAGTACAGGTGCACCTGCATCGTATGTTTACTACTATGTATCGTAGTGCATACTTACTGTGCAACAGTAGGGTAGGGTAGGCCACGTGTATTCTTTCCAGTGCTACTGGATGGATAGTAGTATGTATGTATGTACACGTCCCTCCCTGCCCCTCCTCTCTCAAGAGTTCAAGACGTCTCAAACACCAAAAGAGCTTCCATCCCTCCCCCATCCTCTCTCAACCTCCGCTTCCTCTCCTCTCTCCTCCCTCCCCCTCTCCTCCCTCCCGACCCGCTTATCCCTCATGTCCAACTCTTTCATCCCCCTGTCCCCGCTCCCCTCCCAGGGCGCCCCTGAGACGATAATGGAGCGGTTGGGAGAGGTGCCAATGGGGTACAGTGCGGCGTACAAGCAGTTCACTCGCCAGGGGGCGCGCGTGCTCGCCCTGGCCTACAAGCAACTGCCTGACATGACGGTGAGGAGGGGGGGGTGAGGGGGTGGGGAAGGGGGGGGTGTGAGGGGGTGGTGGAGGGGGAAAGGGAGATTCTTGGGATGGGAGGTTGTAAGATGGGCGCGCGTGCTTGCCCTGGCCTACAAGCAACTGCCTGACATGACGGTGAGGAGGAGGGAAGGGGGGGATGGGTTGTGAGGGGGAGAGGGAGGTGGCTGAGATGGGAGGCTGGAGGAGGGGTGCGTGTGCTTGCCCTGGCCTACAAGCAACTGCCTGACATGACGGTGAGGAAAGGGGGAGTAGGGGGGTGAGGGGGTGGGGAAGGGGGAGGTGGAGGGGGAAAGAGAGGGGGTTGGAATCGAACGTTGAAAGATGGGTGCGTGTGCTCGCCCTGGCCTACAAGTGACTGTCTGATGTGACGGTGAGGAGGGGGGAATGGAGGGGAGGGGGAGGGGGAGAGGGAGGCGGTTGAGATGGGAGGTTGGAAGAGGGGCGCATGTGTTTGCGCTTGCCTACTGACGAGTGGCTGATATGGTGGTGAGGGGGGGGAGAGTGGGGCGGAAGGGGGGCTCCGCAAGTTTATCAGAGGATGCATGTTGGGAGGCTGGACCTATATTGCTCCTCTTGTATCTAATGCCCTAAACCCTATACAGAGGTTATCCCGTTTCTACTAATGCTCTCTTTTATCCAGCGGCACTAGAAGCGGTGTAAGGAGTTGTTTGTTAGTTACTAAAGTGTACCCTTCGCCTCTCCACCCTCTCTTTGCTCCACCGCTGCTGCTGCCGCCGCCGCCGCCGCCGCCGCCGCCGCCGCCGCCGCCGCCGCCGCCGCCGCCGCCGCCGCCGCCGCCGCCGCCGCCGCAGCCGCCGCCGCCGCCGCCGCTGCTGCTGCTGCTGCTGCTGCTGCTGCTGCTGCTGCTGCTGCTGCTGGTGCATGGGAGGTGGCTGGGCTGTGAATGGGATGACACCCTGCAATATGACACCCTGTCTGATGGCCCAATGCGATGCAATCGGATGCGTATGTACGGGAGGCGAGGGGAAGGGGGGTTGCGTGTGTGGCTGTGTGCGTGGGTGTGTTGAGGGGGAGGTGCTTGTGTGTGCGTGTGTGTGCGTGTGTGTGCGCGTGTGTGTGTGTGTCACAGGTGACAGAGGCGAGGGCTTTGGAGCGTGATGATGTGGAGAGTGGACTCACATTCGCTGGTTTTGCGGTAATACATGCATGCACCCATGTATGCATGCACATGCACTTGCATGCACACAACACACATGCACGCACACGCATGCTTCCACTCGCACACATTTGTCTCCTCCCTCCTTCCCGTCCTCCATCCCTCCCTTCCTCCTTCCCTCCTTCCCCCCCGCCATCACTCCCTCCCTCCTTCCCTCCTTCCCTCCTTCCCCCCTTCCCACTTTCCTTCCCTCCTTCCCTCCCTCTCTCCCTCCCTCCCTCCTTCCCACTCTCCCTCCCTCCCTCCCTCCCTCGCCTCGTCACCCCTTTCCTCACTCCCACTTTCCCTCCCTCCCTCCCTCCCCTCCTCACCCCCTTCCGCACTCCCTCTTTTCCCCCCTCCCCTCTTCGCATCTTGGCCTATTCGCCCCGACTTTGCTTCTATGCTTGCTGTATTGCACCACTCTTCCCATGTGCCCACTGCCCACACACAAGTGTCTCTCCACCCGTCCCCCATCTCCACCCGTCCCCCATCTCCACCCGTCCCCCATCTCCACCCGTCCCCCATCTCCACCCGTCCCCCCATCAGGTCTTCGCATGCCCCATTCGCCCTGACTCGGCCGCCGTGTTGGCAGAGCTGCGCCATTCTTCCCACGACTTGGTCCGTCCCTATCCCCTTGCACCATTTTCTTGGTCTCCTCTCTCTCTCCTCGTCTTCTCCTCGTCTTCTCCTCGTCTTGTCCTCGTTCATCCTTCCTTTTCTTCTCCCCGTTCTCTCGCAGCGGCATGCCACATTCCATCTCCAGTGCGCTTTTGAGGCGCCTCAAGAGTCATCCCACATCCCACATCCCACATCCCACATGCCACATCCCACATGCCACATCCCACATGCCACATCCCACATGCCACATCCCACATTTTACATCCCACATGCCACATGCCACATGCCACATGCCACATGCCACATGCCTCATGCCACATGCCACATGCCTCATGCCACATGCCTCATGCCACATGCCACATGCCACATGCCTCATGCCACATGCCACATGCCACATGCCACATGCCACATGCCTCATGCCACATGCCACATGCCTCATGCCACATGACAGCTCCAGAGCACTGTTCGCCTAGCATACGAACGGGTTCTTCTGAGAATTCAACTCTCAAAAGCACCCTATAAGCCACTTGTCGACGTCATGCCTTTCTCACCCCCTCTTCTTCCTCTCTCCTTCCACCCCCCTCCTCCTCTACCCCGCCGGCCCCGTCCTCCGTGCGTCAGGTGATGATCACAGGAGATCAAGCACTGACAGCGTGCCACGTGGCAGGGGAGGTGAACATAGTGACTCGCCCTGTGCTCGTGCTCGTGCCCGCTGCTGACGGGGGATTCAACTGGCTCTCGCCGGATGAAGTCACCTGCATGCCCTACAGGTAAGTTGAGCGGAGTGGGGTGGGATGCGGGGTGGAATGGAGTGGAGTGGAGTGGGAAATCGTGTACGACTCTGTTTTATCACCCCCACCGTACACACACTCACACACACCGTCATCGCCCTGGTCTTTCTCTTACCACGGTCGTCATGCACATGCGTTGCCTCCTTGCCACCCCTGCCACCCCTGCCACCCCTGCCACCCCTGCCACCCCTGCCACCCCTGCCACCCCTGCCACCCCCTGCCACCCCT